CCTCACCAGCCGTAAACCTCACTGCACGTCACTGCTTATAACTATCTTATAACTATAAGAGTTGGAGAGATGTTTCATTTTATCAAAACAAACAAAGAAAAGTTCTCTCAATGTGTGCCAAACCCCTAAATTCATGTTTTATACAATATATAGAAAGGTATTATCTAAAATTAATATCTACCTTCAATGATAGTAGAGGCTAATTTGAAAGCTAGTTGGAGTACTAAAAGGTTATCCAAATTATACAGTATATGTAAATCAATATTCCAATCTATTCTTAATTGGTAGTATATCAAGTATTGAGGTCACAAATAGAGGCAGCTGAATTTTAGAAAGGTAAATAGATCTAAATAGATGTACATAAGCAAATTTGTGATAATTAAAGATGCTGCCTGCTTGAGCAAAAACTCTTAAGCAAAATGTGATCTGTGTAGTACTTCTGATTCAACTCCAGGAGTTTCAATGGAAAACTACAAATGTAACACCTGTTTGTATCTTTAATGTAGCCATATCTTTTCTTGCACTATACAGCTGTGGCTGCCACATATCTACTTTAAAGAGTTACAGACAGGTGTTACATTCCTACACCTTCATTTTCAAAACTCTCATTTGGAATAAATATCAACCGCTGTACAGGACAATTTAGTTAAAATTGAATTGTTACAATCAGGATCCATCAAGAGAACTCTTAAAAGCTATACATTACATGTTGAATGCTACTGAAACATGCACAGCTGATTTTACCATTTGAAAGAGAAATGAGGCAGGAGACCTGTGAGATTTATTTATATTATGCATTCAGCCATGGGCAGTTCTACTACTTAAATCTGAGGCAGCATCTTAAAAGTATTGTAATGCATTTTGAACAATAGGCATTATTATGTCAGGCCACTGTAATTTTCATTACAATTTTAATTACTAGTACACACTGTTTACTAGGTTTTGTCTGAATACAGTATTTGTTCTTACACTATTATTTCATGTACGTTAGAGGTTATTGTCTGCTAAAAAAAGTTATTTTCTTGGCTGTTAGTAATTTCTGGATAAGAGGTATTCTTTTGGAACATTGCTTAAAAGTAACACAACTATAAAGTCTTTTTGGGAAGTAACTGAACCCAAACTGCTTTTGACAATCATTACAACACAAGCCCAGTTAGATCAGTTATTAATCGGTGGTTCCTTAAGGTGAGACATTTAAATACTTCAACACATTTCTGAAGCGATTTCCTAAACAACACAGCATAGTTTGCAACACATGTTATGAAGAATATAAAGTTTTGTTTGGAATTTCTCAGTGATTTGATACATATTTTATTAAATATATTACTTCTAACTGCTACAATATTTTTAGTTCTTATTCCTTCTGCTCAGATGAGTTGAGAATTACTGTGATGGAGCACAATAAAATATGTTTAATGATGTCCTCTTTAATGGATTTTGTCAGAGTGCGCACAGCGTGACTACTATTTTGAGACAACCCAAGAGCAAAATACAGTACACAGAGGTTTGTCTTTCAAACAGTGGTTTATCTACACAGTGTGTATACACACACACACACACACACACACACACACACACACACACACACACACACACACACACACACACACACACACACACACACATGTTAGGCAAATACCAAGCAAGTAATCAATCTTCAACTCTACACAGAGAACTACAATGGAGAGAGATAAATGAGGAAGAGATGTTCTCACATGGCCTCCCTTATATATACAGCTTCTTAAAGTGGCAATAATCTGGCTTCTTAAAGTGGCACTACCTCTGCTGACTCATCCTCATTTCATCATCTTAAATTACAACCTTACATTGGCTGGTCAGCTTCAAATCATCATTACAGATTTTGAATGCAGCAGACAAAAATTTATATAGCATATTCTGAACCAAATTACAGCTAGCCCTGACCTACCTATTCTGACTTCATTTTCAAAACAGATAGGAAGGTATGTCCTACAGATGTGAAATTCCGGAAGAACTGTGGCTACCCCGGAATTCCTGCCAATGAATGTGCAATGAGAAAGTGCTGTTTTGAGAGCAAACCACGTGGTGTCCCATGGTGCTTTTTTCATATCAGTGTGGAAGAGGGTAAGAAGAAGTATTGGTTTTGTCATTTTGATAAATGCATGAACCTTTTATAGAAGAGACATGCTAAGATACTTTATGGCATACAGTGTAGCTTTCCATTGTGAGTAGAATTCCTCATTTAATTGCATTTGCTTACAGTAGCTTAGAATTAAAATGATGCATGTACATTTAATTTTTAGATCAACATTTTCCCCTGTTTTCTAGTTTATGATTAGTTAGAATTTTTGGGGGGGGGTTGTTGTTTTGTTTTGCTATTGGGGGAAGGGAAATTATTTTCATTATTTATTATCATTTTTATACTATTTTAAGTCTGTTTTAGGGCTTATGCTACAATATGGGTAGAGATTCCCATCTCAAAATGACCGGACACAATGTCACCACTTTTAATCATTGTAGCCTGGAAATTGCACGTTAAAAAAATAACAAAACAAAATAAAAACATGGTCTGCATGGGATTCCCAGGCATTTTGTCTTCTCAAAATACAGGTTTCAGATTATTCTAGAAGAAGAAAAAAGAGGAAAAACATTTTGTTTCATTTTTATTTTATTTAGAAACTGCTATGTAGTCTACAATATATGATCCATTTCCTTAAAACCTGGTAGACCAGGAATCTCCAAACTTGACAATTTCAAGACTTTTGGACTTCAACTCCCAGAACTCTTCAGCCAGCTGACAGGGGAATTCTAGGAACTGAAATCTACAAGTCTTAAAGTTGCCAAGTTTGGAGACCCTTGACATAGACCACTGGTTGCTTTCATTAAAAAGCAATGCGTGGTGATTCTGAATGCAGCTAGATTCACTTAACACCATCAATTTTATGTCTACATTTTGAGAGCAACCCCAGCATTGCAGGCAGCGATACATGTCTTACTAAGGTGGATTTATGGGTGGGATTGAATGGGAAACTGAAACTGGGCTAAGGATCATAGTGGTAAAATATCAATGAGACCACTATCTCTGATTATGCTTTTGGTGTTCCAAATGCTGTGGACCATTACAGATGAGTGACATGTGTGTCTGGGAGAAATTTTGATGACAAAATGTGATGCAAGGTGTACTGTAATGAGAAGATCTGGACCCCAATCTTTTGTATTTGCATCTTAACTTTATAGGCTACTATGTACAGGTTGTCCTCAATTTACAACCACAATTAAGTCCAAAATTTCCATTCAAGTTCCAAGGCACTTGATAAGTGATTTCCCCCATTTTATGACTTTTTTGCCATAGTTGTTAAGTGAATCATGTGGTCTTTAAGTGAATGTGGCTTCCCCCATTGACTTTGTTTGTCGGAAGCAAATAGTGATCACATGATCCTGGGAAAAGGCAACTCTCTGGGGTCATGTAATTCCCATTTGCTAAATACCTGTGATCACCATGTGGTAAATATATGCCAGTTGCTAAGTGCCCAAATTTTGATCATGTGACCCTGAAGATGCTGCAATGATTGCAGGTGTGAAAACCAATCATAAGTCACTTGTTTTACTGCCATTGTCATTTTGAAGAGTCACTAAACAAATGGTTGTATGTTGAGGACTATCAGTAAATCATGGGGTTTGTGTTATGATGTCAGGATTCATATTTGACTTTTGAACATATACACATGACTTCCCATGTAAGTGCCTGACATAACACTGGAAAATACTGAGTAATGTAAAGCCAATCAGAAGGCACGATCATTAAGTTGTTGTGAAGTCAATAAATTTGATATAAGCCTATTCCCAATATTGCAGGCAAAGAGGGTCTAATTTACTGGGGCTGAAACCAGCATCAGAGTAATAAGGAAATTAATGTGATAAATAATCCATACAAAAACTTGCAATTATAATCCTAGTAGAATATTTGTTGTTATTTGGGGGGGAGTTGATAGAAATAGAAAAAAGAGAAAAGCTGAAATTTTTTACTCTTTTTCTTTCTTTTCAGAGTGTTAAAATGATGCTTCAGGAAGAACTCTCACAAAGAGCATGCCTTCGACAAAACTATTCAAGCACAATGTTATCCCATGTGGTGTACTAATTTTGGCTTCCATGATACATTAATGCATCTTTATAATAGTTAATTACAGATTTTGTCACTTCTTTACATCTGCTAAAGGCAATTGTGATGAAAAAAAAGAAATGCATTTATCTTTATGAATGCATTATAAATTTGCCTCTTGTGCTGATATCCAGATAGTAACCTACACATGCGATATTAGCTTTTTGTAATTGAAAATTTCATTTTTGAGGTGCTCCTGTGATTAGAAATATACTATCTGAATAATATGCTATTAAATCATGCAAAACAAATTGAACATAACTGTTTGTGCGAATAGAAAATCTTGTTTGCTTTATAAGCTTTACTATAAATCCTTGTTAATAATAAAAAGCTTCGGACATCTTACGTAACAGAATGAATGAATGAATGAATGAATGAATGAATGGATGGATGGATGGATGGATGGATGGATGGATGGATGGATGGATTTCAGAACTCTCTCTGCTTTGGGTGGCAATTTCACCCAATGTGGAAGTTAAGAGGCAAGGAGGAAGTTTCTCCTGTTCTTTTTCAATTACCCAATCTGCAGCGTCTTTCCCACCTACCAAGTTCCTCTTTTTCTCAGTGTAAGTTACCACCTGCAGAAGACTTATTGGGCAACCGTATAAGCAGTGTGGGTTTGTGAAGATGCTGAAAGTAGAAATGGTAAAGAAGTGATCTGAATATGTCAGGCACTGAGTAGCAGGCCCATACTTAGATACAGACGACCATCCAGAAGCAACAAAGAAGAACATAACCATGATGCCAAGATGGAAACCAGATTCTTCAACAGACCCAGATGTCTACTTTGTCCCCACATCTACACCAACAGCACTATCACAAGCCCCAATAATATATATTCAAGATAACAAACACGTTTACATGCTTTTCCTCAAATGTGATATCTGTTATCAGCTGCCAGCAGTGCCATTCTGATTATACATAAAGCAAAATGGTAACATTTGCACAAAAGAATTAATAAACATAAGTTTGACATCAGGACTCAAATATAAACAAAATAATTTCAGAGCCCTCTAATCTCCCAGAATATTCTTTAGCAAACCTCCAAGTTACTGCCTTAGAAGGCAGGGCTTTAAGAACAAAGTGTGAAATTGTTGAACTCACATACATCAATAAAGTTCAGACAATCTCAGAAGGTCCCAATATAATTTTTAAACATGCTACAAATGTTAATTGCTGCATACTAACAAGCTGTCTCACAGGTAAATGGCATTTACATACCAACTTATCTTCCCATTTCTTATCCTCCATCCCACCCAATTTAAATCCTACAGCAGTTCAGCCATTTTATGAAGTAGGCTGCCTTAAATAAATCATATTTTAATAAAGTTATTAGAAAAGGTACTGCCAGACTCCTGAGTTTTTTGCCTGTGATTTTTTGGTATGTGAATAGCTTTTCCAAAGAAGCAAATTCTCAAGCTAATTCCTCCAGGACTGAGAGTCCAGAAATGCTCTACCTCAAAATTTTCCCACCTACTACCAAGAAGTGAGGATAGGGTAGGGCCATGATGGCAAACCTATGGCACATGTACCACAGGTGCAGTGGTGGGTTTCAAATTTTTTTAGAACCTCTTCTGTATGTGTGGCCTGCTTTGTAGGAGTGGCTTGCTGGCCAT